CGGAAGAAGTATTAAAAGTTTCAAATTGTGGAATCAAGAAAGATTTATCTCAGAATACAGATATAAATTCGAACAAAAAAACCAATCATTTATGATTTTTTAGAATAAGATCCAATGTTAGATCTAAATATCAATTCTATTTTATTTAGTCCTGACTCATCAATATTAATTGATAGATGCTCTGTTGTAAAAATACAAGTATTTGAATTAATATCTGAAAAATTAAACTATTAGAAGTATTGCATACACATAAAAACTAAGTGGAATATTTTTGATTTATGAAAAATCAAAAGAATTTTTATCAGAGAGCAAATATGAAACTATTTTTATTTGGTCAGGATCTAAAAAATATAAGGATTGGAGAGTTAATGAAAAGTTCAGAGGAAATAATGGAATGCTAAATTGTATGATATTAAATAATGGTGCAAATTATTTTTCAGTTGGCTGAGGAAATGCCTTAAAATTATGATCCAAATATAAAAAATGGAAGTTTTAAATTACTAATTTAGAAAATAAAACAAATATTTTCAAGTATTTGTTTTAGTGGCTCTTAAAATTTATTAGTTTATAGTAATAAATGCATTTCGATATATTAATTAAGTAATAAAAATACATGGGTAGGATCCTAAAAAATTATGACAAATTAATAGAAATCCAATTTATCATTTTTAGATAGTACATCATCCATATTTCAACCTTTTAATTAGGATACCTTGTAAATACATGATTTTGATCCGTAATTTTAACAACAAGAAAAATCTAAGCGAATTAATTGATTTTGGAAATCATCTCCTTTATAAAGCTGAATAAAATCTAAATTTAATAAGATGCTTAAAGAATAAAAAATTCAATATTGAATGGTTACTAAAACTAAGTGATGCCAGATAAATTTTTACAGTCAGTGATAATTCTAAATATATAGCAACATGGAATTAAGATACGAAAGAATTCTTTTTAGAAAACAAAAGGACAGAGAACAAATAAAACAAATATCAAAATTTAAAAATTACATCAATTTCTGTTATGTTATAAATTCAATTTTCTTTATTCAAAGACATTAAAGGTTTACAAAAAAAATATTTTCTAAAGATTTTGTTTGAAAAATATAACTCCTTCAACGCTATAATGTAGTTTATGAAGATTAAATTAATGCTTTAATAACGTTAATATTTAAAAGAATGTTTAATTTATAAACCATCAAAATAGATTATATGTTTTTTATAAATTAGTGAATTTGCTAATTTTGTAATATTTTAGTAAGTAAACTAATTTTTGTTTGACATTATTCCTAGATTAAGAGGAGCAGGATATGGTACAGCAAAAATTCCTTTAGATAAAGTTGAAAACTCAATATATCAATTAGTTAAAGGGCTTAAATATAAAATAGTTTATCAGTAAATCAAATTTCGAAATTTTAACATTAATAAATGAAAATTGTAAATTTTAAAAGAGCATATAATCAGTTTTTTTCTATCAATGATTTCAAAATTGACATCAAATCTCTCTAAAACTTAATCAATTTAAAAGGCTCAAAATTTGTAAATCAACAATTAACTCTTCGATAGCTTAAAGTCATCTCACTTAATGCTACAAATAATATCTAAATTTCAAAAAGAGACTTCCCATATTAATTCTTCAGGAAAAATAAAAATCAAGAGCAATTTTATAAAAAGTATTGATTAAATATCCAGAACAAATATTAAATGATCACCATTTCACAGTATTAAAAAAAACATCAGAGTCATTTGAAGAAGTAATTGATGTAATAAAGAAATAAAATTGGTCTAATGCCACAAGCTTTAGATACTTGATTTACTAAAAAATATTTAAAATTAAAAATAATAATATCTCTTTTTTGTAGGCAATTAGAATAAAGAAAAATAGGTTTAACAAGATTTAGTTTAGATAGAATTATTAATAATAGCATTTAACAATTAAATAAACAATAAAATATATCTGATTGTATTACTACTTATAATCTTTTTAATTGGGATATTTATATATAGCAAATTTCGTAAAGATTAAAAAAATTATTTAATAACCAAGATGAAAATCTTGGATTTAATTAAGTTTATTTTGAAAAAAACCATCAGAATTAATTCAAGATTCATTTAATTAAAATTTCACTGAAATTTATTCTGATCTGAAGATTGAATTGACCAACTGCTTAACTAAGATAGCTGAATCAAACCAAACAGTTTTTAACGAAAATCTTCTAAAGCCTATATCTGGGGATCTTTGTCTTGATTATACAACAACTATATAGATTATAGCTGAAAGTTCATATTAGAGAAGAGTCATAATACTGATTAAGAGTTTTTTTTTGAAAAATCATATACATTTATGTTCAAAATTAAAAAATAGAAAATAATTTTCAAGTGATTATTTTTTTTGCAGATTCTTCTTAAAAAGTCAGCAGTATTTAATTTTATTAAGGTGCAATAATTTTTACATGAACCTATAATTTAAGAGTTTGCTAATCTTTATTGAAATATATTTGGACAAACTTTGTTTTAAGGGAAAAATCAAGAAAGCTTAAAGGAAGTTGAAATATTACCATTAACATAAAATCAAAGCTCTGAATACATAAGATAATATTGTGAAATGAGTTTTAACAAAGCTATCAAAAGATTCTATTAATTTTTGAAATAATTAAAAGGTTAAACAATATCTGTTCATGAATTCAAATTAATAAGGAGTTCTTTGCAGGAATATGTTAATAAAATTATTTATTGAAATAAAATTAAGGTTTTTTATTCAATCATCAAGATGTAGATGAAAAACGGTATATTATTGAATTTTTTCATCATATTTGAACAGATTAGATGATGTCATTGAAAAAGGAACTCCTAGAATTATGAGTTAATCAAAATTTCAAAAATTAATCAAAAATGTGAATGTCAATCATTTTATGGCTAATTCCTTTTATGATGAAATTAAATGTTTATTTGCTCTCTAAAATGTCCTTAATAATTTCAAAGTCTAAATAAGTGAGAGAAAGTTACTATTAAAGAAATAATTATAAACAGAGAGCTAGGAGTAAGCTTCTGGTTGATAAATTTTAATAGCAATAGATATAGAAATAAGCTATTAAAAATGCTATTAATTCTTAGAAAATTAACATGAGAGCAAAAATTTTTTTGAAAATTTTTCTATTGATCATAAAATACATTTACTATTTTGTAGAAGAGTATTGAACCTAAAATTGTGAAACCACTTTAAAAGACTGATACGATTTTACTTAATATTTAGCTCTTGATATGACAATAAATTAGCTTACTTAAGTGAATTAAAAGTAAA